ACTACTCCTACTACTACAACTACTCGGACGACTACGACGACTACTACTACTACTACTCCTACTACTACTACTACTACTACTACTACTGCTCCTACTACTACTACTACTACTACTACTACTACTACTAACATTACGAAAACGAATACTACGACTACGACTACTTGTGCTACTACTAACACGACGGCGGCGACGACTACTGCTATAACTACTGCTGCTGCGGCTAGTCGTAATCCCATTACTGCTACTACTACTACGACGACTACTACTACTATGTCTACTACTACTGCCACTACGGCTACTGACTGTTACTGCTACTACTACTACGGCGGCGACAACTACTACACCGACGATTGCTACGACTACGGCGACTACTGCTACTACCACAACTACGACTACTACTACTACTTCTACGACTACCACTACGTCTCCTACTACTACTACTACCACTACTTTTTTTTTTTTAAAAAAAAAAAACTTTTTTAACTTTTTACCCTTTCGATACTACTACTACTACCACTATACTACTGACTACCACTACTTACTCATGCTAATATACTAATCACGGCTAATACTCTACTGCCAACTAACTATACTACTACTACTACTATCCTACTACTACTAAATTCTAACGGACTACTACTCTACTTACTACTACTACTACTACTTACTACTCCGTAACGCGATAACGTCACTACTACTGCTACAAATACTACGCCCACTTAGCTACGCACTACGTACTACTACTTTTTAGTACTTACACTACTACTACGACCATACTACTACGCGTATACTACTTACTACTATACTACTAATACTACTACTTACCTACTGCTAGTATTACGGCTACTACGACTACTACTACCACTACGACTACCACTACTACCACTACTACCAGTACTGCCACTACTACCACTACTACCTACTACTACTAATACCACCACCACCACCGCCACCACCACTACTACTACTACTACTACTACTACTACTACCACTACTAGTACTACTACTACTACTACTACTACTACTATTACTACTACTACTACTACTACTACTACTAGTGCTACTACTACTACTACTACTACTTTTCTACTACTACTGCTACTACTACTACTACTACTACTACGATTACGACGACTACTACTACTACTACTGTTACTACTACTACTGCTACTACTACTACTGCTACTGCTACTGCTACGACTACTACTACTACTACCTACCACTACTACTGCGGCCACTACCCCTTGTAATAATACTACCACTACTATTGCCATTACTACGGCTACGACTACGGCTACTACTACTACTACTACTACTACTACTACTTTACTGCGACGACGATGGCGACGAATATAACTACTACTACTACTACTACTACTACTACGACTACTACTACTACTACTACTACTACTACTACTACGACTACTACCCTACTACTACTACTACTACTACTACTACTACTACTACTACTACTACTGCCGCCACCACCAATACTACTACGACGACTACTACTACTACTACTACTACTACTACTACTACTACTACTACTACTACTACTACGGCTACTACTACTACTACTACTACTACTACTACTATTACCTAAATCACTACTACTACTACTACTACTACTACTACTACTACTACTACTACTACTACTACTACTACTACTACTAGTACTACGACTACTACTACTGCTACTGCTACTACTACTACAACTAATGCTACTACGACGGCTACTACTATTACTACTGGTACTTTGACGACGTACTACCACTGCTGCTGCGAATGCTGCTGCTGCTCGTAATGCTGCTGCGGCTCCTGGCCCTGCCCCTGCTCCTGCAACTGCTTCTGCTCCATCTGATGCTGCTACTGCTGCTCGTTAACCTCATCCTGCCCATGCGGCTTCTGCTACTATTATTACGACAACGACGACGACGACGACGACGACGACGACGACTACTACTACTACTACTACTATTACGACTACGACTGCTACTTCTACTACTACTACTACTACTACTACTACTACTACTACTACTACTACTACTACTACTACTACTACTACAGCTACTACTCCTACTACTACTACTACTACTACTACTACTACTACTACTACTACTACTACTACTACTGCTACTACTACTACTACTACTACTACTACTACTACTACTACTACTACTACGGCCACTGCTACTACTACTACTACTACCACCACCATGACGACGACGACGACGACGACGACGACGACGACGACGACGACGACGACGACGACGACGACGACTACTACTACTACTACTACTACAACGACTACGACTACTACTACTTCTGCTGCTGCCACGGCTACAAACACGACAACGACTACGACTACGACTACTGCTACGACAACTACGGCAACAATAACTACTTATACTGCTACTACTACTGCAACGACCACTACCAATACCACTACTACTACGACCGCTAATTCTACTACCACAACAGCAACTACGACTACTACAACTACTAATGCTACTAGCCTTCCGGCTGCTAATACTATGACTACGATTACGCTTACGCCTACTATCACGGCTACTATCGCGGCTACTACTACTACTACTACTACTACTACCACTACTCCTACTACTACTACTACTACTACTACTACTACTACTACTACTACTACTATCACGGCCACTA